GAATTTTTTAAAAGTTTCTATGTTATATACACAATAAAGTACACCATATCAAATTCTGAAACTGAGTTGCTTTGCAAGATCTGATTAGAATCCTGTAAGGAACTAACTGATGTCTGCCTAGGTTACTTGCAGGATGCATTTATAAATGCATCTACCTACACACATATATATTCATGCATACATAATACATTCTTGCACACACATGCATCATGCAAGCTACCTAGACAGATAGACAGCAGGATTGAAACCCTCTCTCTCTCTCTCTCTCTCTTTCTCTCTCTCTCTCTCTCTTTCTCTGATCTCCTGTTCATTTATACATAGAATCATAGAATCAAAGTTGGAAGAGACCTCGTGGGCCATCCAGTCCAACCCCTTGCCAAGAAGCAGGAAAATCACATTCAAAGCACCCCCAACAGATAGCTACCCAGCCTCTGTTTAAAAGCCTTCAGAGAAGGAGCCTCCATCACACTTCGGGGCAGAGAGTTCCACAGCTGAACAGCTCTCACAGTTAGGAAATTRTTCCTAATTTTCAGGTGGAATCTCCTTTCCTGTAGTTTGAAGCCATTGTTCTGCATCTTAGTCTCCAGGGCAGCAGAAAACAAGCCTACTTCCTCCTCCCTATGACTTCCCCTCACATATTTATACAGGGTCAGGCAGCATAACTTCCCTTTTTTAAATGCGCGCCATTCAGTCAGTTGAAGACATAGCGGAGCGGTAGTGGTCTAGTTCGAGAGACGGGAATATAAAGTTTTGTCCTGACACAGTTCAGTCGCCATCATGCGTTGGAACAGTGAGGAGCGTGCTTTTGCCATTGAGGCCGACTTTTRGAGCGGATATGGAGTGGTCGGCCCACTCTCCAGATTTGGCCCCTTGTGATGTTTTTCTATGGGTTTTTTTGAAATCTTGTGTTTATGTAAACCATCCAAGGACCCTATAAGATTTGAAGACCAACATCCAAAATGAAATTGCCAACATAACGCCTGCTATGCTGGAATTTTCAGTAGTTGGAGGTCATTTTTCCCTACTTTAAATGGTTACCAAAAGGACAGATAATTCGTTGGCATCAACCATGTCAATATTGTCAAATAGTCCTCAGGGATTAAAGAAATTAACTTGAGTGATGTACAGGGCCTGTATTTGCTTTTTGTTTTTATTATCAACAATCAGTTAATGATACACTCTTGGAAAACTATATGCACATGTAGAAATATTTCCCCTTTTAAATAGAAGCATTCATTTTAACCACATATAAATAAATCTGAAAATCCTGAAACATAACTTATGACGGTTAATGCTCACAAACAGATCTGAACACGAACATAAAAGAAAAAGAAAAAAAAACACACACAGCCAACATGCAACGGATAACCACAGCTGATACCATTGCGTGAAGTCGGCCTCTCTAAACGTAAAGGAAGATAACCAGTGAGAACGTCATATTCTCCATAAAGACACACCATAAAGACTACTAGGAGAGAGAACGTTATTTATACGTCTAACTAGAGTAGACAAGTTTGTATCAATATTAACACTATACAATTGAGTCACAGAACACAGTCGTAGAAAGACACAGAAAAAGATGTTAAAGCATACTGTCGACATAACTAATACCTAGGTTCTTGTGCCTTTGAAAATAAATGTTTTAAAAACCCTAACAAGGGGTGCCTAAAAACAGCATGGACAATGTCATCATCATTATCATCATATTCTTTAGCATGAATAACCCACTCATTCACCAGAAAGGGATGTTGAGCCCCAAACCGGATCCAGTTTGAACAGAGAGTTGGTTCGCCTTTTGTAAACATCTTCCTGTACATTAAATACATAATGACAGCAGATTTGCAGCAAATGCAACAGAAGAAGGGCAAGGACTGGCGGGGGGGGGGGGGGGATCAGTTATAAGATGTCTGCTTATGCATAATGGTTGAGGCCAGTTCATGTTGTTTTCTGCAGAACTTCGGAAGCAGAATCTGAGACTTGCTTCATACATGCAACGTGGTTTTTCTCCACTGGATTACTGTGCATTGAATGTCTGGCAGATGAATATGTAAACTATTGATCAGAACCAAATTTTGTCTACACGGTGGGAATGTCATTTGTAGCACCGGTTCTTTAATGGCCCTTCACACCCGGAAGTCATCATTGGATGTTATAGTTACAAAGTGATGAACCTGGTTTTGTGAACACCCCAAATATTCATCATGGGCACAAATAGAAATGATGTAATTATTCTACCCCAAGTCTTCCTAAGGCAGGTTGAGCCATGCTTATCCACTGTCAAGATCAAATTAAGTCAACTGGTTCAAGTTGAGTCCAAAGATAAAGTTACTTAGTGTAGAAAGAGTAACTGAAAAAAAATGTAGTTTCTCATGAGGACTGATGTGATGTGTGGCCTGCCGAAGATACTACATAATAATCAATATACAGTGCCACTCCAAACATTCACATAGGCTGCATCGACACTGCAGATTCAACACAACTAATTGCTATGGTTCAATGCTATGGACTTAAGGGAGTTGTAGTTTGGTGAGGCACCAGCACTCTTTGGCAAAGAAGGTTCAAGACCTTGCAAAGTTACAACTCCAAGGATCCATAGCATTGATCCAAGTCAAGCTGCATTAATTCTACAGTGTAGATACACTCTAAGATATGGATAGTGATCATTGTGGCTCCTCAGCTGCTGTTGTACTACAACTTTCAGCATCCCTGACCATTATCCATGGTAATATTGCTGGAATATGCAGTGCAATAATATCTGCACTAAGGAATAGGGCTCATTGTTGACTTCAGGATACACGGCAGGCTTGTGTTGTTACATGCTGTAAATCTTTTGGTTTTCTGGTCTAGTAGACAAATCTTCACATTCTATAACCTTTTAATTTTTTCCACATTCATTATCCACCTGTGAAGTTGTTAATGTTGATGCTAAAACAAATATGTATAAGCACAGGTCAATGCTATCCGCCTCATAGTTGTGGCCAAGAAGATGTGTCTGAGGTGCAATTTACTCACACAGAAACCACAAGCCACATTTGGTCAATGTCTAATTTATAAACAAAGGCCCCTTGTACACTGCCACATCAAATGCTGATTATCTGCTTTGGACTTGATTATATGGCAGTGTAGATTCATATAATCCAATTCAAAGTAGACAATGTGGATAATTTGCTTTAATAATCTGGATTGTATGGCAGTGTAGAAGGAGCCTAAAGCTGGATCAACACTGCCATAATCTGGGTTTTATATGTCAGTATAGATGGGGACCTAATGTTTGGGTATGCCACTGAAAACAAGGTTGTGGATGCATCTGCATTATAGAATTAACGCAATTTGATATCACTTCAACTGCTATGGAATGATGGGCTTCCACAAGGTTTTTAGTCTTCTCAGGCCCCTTCCACACAGCTGTATAAAATCCACATTAGATTATATGGCAGTGTGGATTTTGGACCCTTCCACGCACAGCCATATAACCCGGAATGTCAAGGCAGAAAATCTGCATTATAGAAAATCACACACTATCTCTTTTGAACTGGGTTATCTGAGTCCACACTGCAATATATTACAGTTCAAAGCATAAATTGCGGGGTTTTATTCACCTGTGTGGAAGGGGCCTCAAATAATCCGGTTCAAAGCAGATATTGTGGATGGTCTGCCTTGAAATTCTGAGTAATATGGCTACGTGGAAGGGCCCTCAGCTAGAGTACTGGTACCTCACCAAAGCTGGATCCACACTTCCTTATATCCCAGGATCTGATCCCAAATTATCTGGCCGTGTAGACTCATATAATCCAGTTCAGTACAGATAATCTGCAGGGATCAAATCCTAGGACATAAGGAAGTGCAGATCTGGCCTCTTACGCTTCCATAGTACGATGACTGGCAATTAAAAGTGGTGTCAAACCCTTCCACACAGCCGTATAACCCAGAATATCATGGCAGATAATCCACAGTATCTTTGAACTGGCTATCTGAGGCCCCTTCCACACAGCTGAATAAGATCCACGTTGAACTGGGATATATGGCAGTGTGGATTCAGATAACCCAGTTCAAAGCAGACATTGTGTATTATCAACCTTGATATTCTGGGTTATAAAGCTGTATGGAAGGGCCCTGAGTCCACATAATCCAGTTCAATGTGGACTTTATACAGCTGTGTGGAAAGGGCCTGAGTCCACACTGTCATATAATCCTGTTCAGTGTGGATTTTATACAGCCGTGTGGAAAGGACCTAAGTCCACACTGTTATATAATCCAGTTCAGTGTGGATTTTATACAGCTGTGTGGAAGGGGCCTGAGTCCACACTGTCATATAATCCTGTTCAGTGTGGATTTTATACAGCTGTGTGGAAAGGACCTAAGTCCACACTGTTATATAATCCAGTTCAGTGTGGATTTTATACAGCTGTGTGGAAGGGGCCTGAGTCCACACTGTCATATAATCCAGTTCAGTGTGGATTTTATACAGCTGTGTGGAATGGGCCTGAGTCTATAGTGTCATATATTCTAATTCAGTGTGTTGGATGGGCTTGAGTCCACACTGTCATATAATCTAGGTCAATATGGATTTTATGTAGCTGTGTGGAAGGGGCCTGCATTCATTCCCCAGTGTGGTAGTGGCACCCTGGCTCAACTGAAACCTAATCAACAAGTGGGTCAAGGGAACTAACTGTCGAGAGCAGAAGCTTGGAAAAGGCGGCCTTTGTGTGTGTGTGTGAGGGATATACATACATTGGAGCAGCGACGACGACAAAACAACACTGGTAGCTCATGAACAGCACTCTCCCAGTTCAGCCTCAGGAGGGCGCGAAGGAAAGGGCGTGGAGGCCCAAGGCGGCTCCCTGGCAGTCTTTGGGGCAGGCCTCCTCCTCACCCCTTCTCAGTCCGGGGGGGCCCCTCAAACGGAAGAGGAAGTGGAGCGGTACGCGCGGGGGGGTGCCTGCAGGGGGCGCGCGGCTGCTGTCCTGTCGAGGCCCCGCCCCCTCCGCCGAGGCCCCGCCCCTTCGCGGCCCGCTTCAAAACATGCTGCCCTTGACCAGGGTGCCGCCTTTGGTGCCGTTGGGTCTCTGCAGCGAGGAGAGGACGCTGGCGAAGGGCCCGCCTAAGGAATCCGGGATGGAGGCGATGGGCCCCGGGCCGGGAGCCCAGCCCTGCCCCGGCCCCGCCAGCCCCCCGCCCTGCACCCCCGGCCCCGCCACCGCCCCCCCGGGCCCCGCCACCGCCCCGGAGCCCTTGCCCACATCCGGGGGCCCCGCCGGGCTCGGGCCGCCGCTGCCGCCGCCTCCCCCGCAGCTGGGCGCTGGGTTGGGGTTGGGGCCGGGCCCGCCGGTGCTGTCCGGGTCGGTGCTCTTGGACTCCTTGCCCTCGTCGTCCCGGGAGGCGTCCGGCTTCTTCCCCGACGAGCCGTTCTTCGCCGCCGCCGCAGCAGCAGCCGCCGCCCGCTCCTGCTTGCGGAATTTCGCCCTCCGGTTCTGGAACCAGACCTTTGGGGAGGGAGAGAAAGGGGGAACCACTTCGTTACCTCGTTACTCGTTACCTTGTTCCACTACTCGTTACCTCACTCCCATTACTTGGTACTTTGCGCCCATTACTTGTTACCTCGTTACCCTGCACCCGTTACTCATTACCTTGCTCCTGTTACTCACATGAAATTCCCGCTACTCGTTACTTCGCCCCTACTACTTGGTACTTTGCGCCCACTATTTGTTACCCTGCGCCCGTTACTCATTACCTAGCTCCCGTAACTCATATGAAAGAGTGAATGAATTGTTTATTGTACCAGCCATATGTCTCGTTACTCATTACCTTGTTCCTCGCCCCTGCCACTATTTGTTACCTCGTTCCCGTTACTCATTACCTTGCTTCTGTTACTCGTTACCTAGCTCCCATTACTCATTACCTCACTCCTGTTACTTACTCATTACCTTGTTCCCGCTACTCGTTACCTCGTCCCTGCTACTTGGTACCTTGCGCCCACTATTTGTTACCTTGTTCCCGTTACTCATTACCTTCTGTTACTCGTTACTTAGCTCCCATTACTCATTACCTCACTCCCGTTACTTACTCATTACCTTGTTCCCGCTACTCGTTACCTCGCCCCTGCTACTTGGTACCTTGCGCCCACTATTTGTTACCTTGTTCCCGTTACTCATTACCTTCTGTTACTCGTTACTTAGCTCCCATTACTCATTACCTCACTCCCGTTACTTACTCATTACCTTGTTCCCGCTACTCATTACCTTGCCCCTGCTACTTGGTACCTTGCGCCCACTATTTGTTACCTCGTTCCCATTACTCATTACCTTGCTTCTGTTACTCGTTACTTAGCTCCCATTACTCGTTACCTCACTCCCGTTACTCATATGAAAGAGTGAATGAATTGTTTATTGTACCAGCCATATGTCTCGTTACTCATTACCTTGTTCCCGCTACTCGTTACCTCGCCCCTGCTACTTGGTACCTCGCGCCCACTATTTGTTACCTCGTTCCCATTACTCATTACCTTGCTTCTGTTACTCGTTACCTAGCTCCCATTACTCATTACCTCACTCCCATTACTCATATGAAAGAGTGAATGAATTGTTTATTGTACCAGCTATATGTCTCGTTACTCATTACCTTGTTCCCACTACTCGTTACCTCGCCCCTGCTACTCAGTACCTTGCGCCCACTATTTGTTACCTCGTTCCCGCTACTCGTTACGTTGCTCCCATTACTCATTACCTAGCTCCCGTTACCTTGCTCCCGCTACTCATATGAAAGAGTGAATGAATTGTTTATTGTACCAGCCATAGGCCTCGTTACCTTCTTCACGCTACTCATTACCTCGCCCCTGCTACCTTGCACCAACTATTTGTTACCTCGCTCCCCTTACTCGTTCCCTTGCTCCTGTTACTTGCTCCCGTTACTCGTTACCTCGCTCCCTTTGCTCATATGAAAGAGTGAATGAATTCTTTATTGTACCAGCCATAGGCCGTGACAGGGCATAATATACAACCTCAAAAAGTACACTTTCTAATATAGATATTAAAACTTACTCCATATACTGGCTCTTTGAAAATATTGTAGTAGCGACATGATAACCATCACAAATGTCTGATTTGTATCATCCCAAACGATTTTCATTTCTACTCTCCGCTGAGGACTTTACTACTGGAGCTCGGATTTTTTGGGTTTCGACTGCAAATGTTATATTTTTGGAATAATCTGCGAACAAGTCACAGATTACTGCTGACTGTTACCTCGTTCCCGTTACTCATTACCTCGCTCCCTTTGCTCATATGAAAGAGTGAATGAATTCTTTATTGTACCAGCCATAGGCCACGACATGACATAATGTACAATCTCTAAAAGTACAATAAAGACTTTCCAATATAAATATTAAAACTTATTCCATATACTGGCTCTTTGAAATTATTGTAGTAGTGACATGATAACCATCACAAATGTCTGATTTGCATCATCCCAAACCATTTCCATTTCTAGCCTCCGCTGTGGACTTCACTAATGTAGCTTGGATTATTTGGGCTGCGACTGCAAATGTTATATTTTTGGAATAATTTGCGAACAAGTCACAGATTACTGCTGTAACCTCGCTCCTGTTGCTCACATGAAAGAGTGAATGAATTCTTTATTGTACCAGCCATAGGCCGTGATATGGCATAATATACAACCTCTAAAAGTACAGTAAGGACTTTCCAATATAAAAAAACTTATTCCATATACTGGCTCTCTGAAATTATCATGTCATTATTATTATTATTATTATTATTATTATTATTATTATTTATTACTTGCCTCTCAAGGCAGGTCACAATGTCATTAAAATGCATCAAAATAGTAAATGACAAATTAAAACACATTTCTACATATATTAAAACATGGAATAAAAAATGTAACTAGAAAACATGACATCACTCTCAGGCCATACAACTGAATAAAATCCTACATTATCTGCTTTGAACTGGGATATATGGCAGGGTGGACTCAGATAACCCAGTTCAAAGCAGATATTGTGGATTATTCTGCCTTGATATTCTGGGTTATATGGGTGTGTGGAAGGGACCTCATCTCATCTACATTGCATTGAACTGAATTATATGGCAGTAAAGACTCATAGAATCCCATTCAATGTAGTTCAGAACGGCATTATATGGCAATATAGATGGAGCCTAAGTGTCAGTCTTATTCCTTACTACAGTATATATCCAGGTTGCCTAGGTGTCTACATAAGCACAAATGGGATGAAAGGGTCTGAGGTCCGTCCCCCCCAAACCGGTCTGGAAAGCCTGTTGTAAATTAAACTCTTGACTTCCTAAATCTAGAATAATCACCCAGTATTAACACAATAAATACTAGTTTCCAAGTAACCATCAGTTATGAAGAATTAAATATCATAGTCTGAAGAAATAATAATAATAATACAGCTGGAAAAGCTGACACTATATGAGGATTTAAAGATCGAAGTGCAAAGACTCTGGCACAAACCAGTCAAGGTGGTCCCAGTGGTGATTGGCACACTGGGTGCAGTGCCTAAAGACTTTGGCCTGCACTTAAACACAATTGGCGCTGACAAAATTACCATCTGTCAGTTGCAAAAGGCCACCCTACTGGGATCTGCACACATTATTCGCTGATACATTACACAGTCCTATACACTGTGTGATCCAATAAAACAGCCAGCAGAGTGATCTTGTTTGCTGTGTTTCAAATAATAATAATAATAATAATAATAATAATAATAATAATAATAATAGTAATAATAATAATAATAATAAATAAATAAATAAATAACATTTGTTTCCTGGCTCTCCCCACAGCTCAATGCAGGGCATAGTTAAAACACACCACCACTAAATACAAATATTAAAATATATATTTTGTAGTGTGTTTTACTAAATTATATATATGTTTCTATATCAAGTGAGCTTGGGCAATTGAAAGCTCAAAAATGGCCATTCAAACTACAAGAAAGGAGATTCCATCTGAACATTCGGAAGAACTTCCTGACTGTGAGAGCCGTTCAGCAGTGGAACTCTCTGCCCCAGAGTGTGGTGGAGGCTCCTTCTTTGGAAGTTTTTAAAAAGAGGCTGGATGACCATCTATCAGGGGTGCTTTGAATGCATTATTATTATTATTATTATTATTATTATTATTATTATTATTAAACTTTATTTGTACCCCGCTAGCAACCCCCTGCTTCCTGACAGGGGGTTGGACTGGATGGCCCATGAGGTCTCTTCCAACTCTGTGATTCTATGATTTACCAAGTAGTTGTAGCTGGACCATAGCCAATACCTAAGAAGATCATTGTTAATAAGAATTTGATAATGAAGCACTATCTTCCGATACAGAAATATTTTTGTTCTGCAATAGAATATCACTATAAATAACATTGTGTTTTGTGTGCCAGAAAATTAACTACATCCTCATAAGCTATTAGTATGTGTCCAAGAGATTGAGATAATAATAATAATAATAATAATAATAATAATAATAATAATCCCTTTTATTTTAGTGGGTGTCATTGGGGAAGTCACATTCTCTCAGCCTCAAAGGAGTTAAATCTTTGCAAAGCAAACTCCATGATATGTTCAACCAGGATTAACACAGTTAATCCTAATTTCTTTGGAGTAAACTCTATTTCTTTCAAATATGTTGTAAATTATAATATTTCCATTGGAATTGTGTGTATCTACAAAACAGACCAGAATCTTAAGTCGAAAAGAATTTTCTCTTGATGTGTGTAAACATATGTTAGTGACATCATATGAATGAAGTCATTATTTCACTGCCGAACAGTTATTGAACTGATTGTTGGCATAAGCTACAATTTGAACAGAAAACACGTCCTTTATGCCTCTAACTGGAGTAACAGTCTAATTTTGGCCTGTGTGAGCTCCCTTGGCATTTGATTGGCTGCCACTAGAAGCAAACAAAAAACAACAACACACCCTGGATTATCGATATTGCATACTTAAAGATGTTGCTGGGTGTATTTTGTAGATAATAGGCAAAGAACCAAAATATTAGTCATCCATGTTTGATTGGCCTTTGTCTGCTACTAGGTAATATCCAAAGGATTCTCTTCCTTGAAGGGTGTGTTTCTGATTCTTGTGCTCTTCAGCATGTCCTTGCAGCTGCTCACTTGACTTTGTCAAGGCAATGCTTTGCCTGGATATTTCTTTCCTTTCACTGAATTGCTCTCCTGATCAACTATTGAGCACAGCAGCCTGTTAGGATCCTGTGCAGGCTTTGTTTACTATGGAATGCATCTCATCAAGTTGTTGGCAGTACAAATAAAGGGAGAGATGCGAAGAAAGAGTGGAGAGAACATTAAATAATCTCTCATCTGCCATCTCCTTTCAACAGTGAAAATATTTTTCCTTGCAGTTTTCCACATTCCTCCACATTCATATCTATCTAAATAAAAATGTAATATTCGTTTGTGGGATTAGCATAACTCAAAAACCACTGGACGAATTGACACCAAATTTGGACACAATACACCTCTCAGGCCAATGAGTGACCATCACTCATAAAAACACTGAAAAACATAGCAGAAGGGACTTAAAAGCAAAAAAAACAAACCCAAAATTACAACGCATGTGCAAAACCACATTTATATATACACAAACACACATATATACACACACAAAACACATACACAGAAAGGGGGAAGGAAGGAGAGAAAGGGAAAGAAGGAGAGAAAGAAGGAAAGAAAGAAGGAAGGAAGGAAAGAAGGAGGAAGAGAAAGAGGGAGAGAAGGAAAGAAAGAAACTGGTGATGTGTTTATACAGTAAACATAATAATCATCATCTTTATTTATTATTATGTTTATTGTTTTTATTTATTTACTGAGTCCCTTTGGGGGGACGACAGGTTATAAACATAGTAAATATAATGACATTATTATGTATAATTATTATTTATATCTATTGTTATTATATTATGCGTACTTAACTATTATTATGTATAATTATTATTATTTATATCTATTATTATGTTTACTTTGTTTATATCCTGTTTTTATTTATACACTGAGTCCCTTTGGGGAGGGAGGACAGGTTATAAACACAATAAACATAATGACTATTATTATTATGTATAATTATTATTTATATCTATTGTTATTATGTATAATTATTATTATATCTATTATTATTATGTTTACTTTGTTTATATCCTGCTTTTATTTATACACTGAGTCGCTTTGGGGAGAGAGGACAGGTTATAAACACAGTAAACATAATAATAACTATTATTATTATATATAATTATTATTTAGATCTATTGTTGTTATTATATTATGTTTACTTAATAACTATTATTATGTATAATTATTATTTATATCTATTGTTGTTATTATATTATGTTTACTTAATAACTATTATTATGTATAATTATTATTTATATCTATTGTTATTATTATAATGTTTACTTTGTTTATATCCTGTTTTGATTTATACACTGAGTCCATTTAGGGAGAGAGGACAGGTTATAAACACAGTAAACATAATAATAACTACTACTATTATTATGTATAATTATTATTTATATCTATTGTTATTATATTATGTTTACTTAATAACTATTATTATTATGTATAATTATTATTTATATCTATTGTTATTATGTTTACTTTGTTTATATCCTGTTTTGATMTATACACTGTGTCCCTTTGGGGAGAGAYGACAGGTTATAAACACAGTAAAKATAATAACTATTATTATTGTTTTGTATTGTTATTATATATATATATCTATTATATTATGTTTATTTAATAATTATTATATATTATTATTATTATTATAATATATCTATTGTTATTATTATGTTTACTTTYWTWATAYSRTATWAWRAAAGTAAACATAATAATAACAATAGATATATTATAATAATAATAATAATATATAATAATTATTAAATAAACATAATATAATAGATATATATATATAATAACAATACAAAACAATAATAATAGTTATTATMTTTACTGTGTTTATAACCTGTCRTCTCTCCCCAAAGGGACACAGTGTATAAATCAAAACAGGATATAAACAAAGTAAACATAATAACAATAGATATAAATAATAATTATACATAATAATAATAATAACAATAAATATGAATAATAATTATACATAATAATAATAATAGTAAACATAATAATAATAACAATAGATATAAATAACAATAATTATATATATAATATTTATTAAGTAAACATAATATAATAATAGATATAAATAATAATTATACATAATAATAATAATAGTAAACATAATAATAATAATAGTAAACATAATAATAATAATAGATATAAATAACAATAATTATATATATAATATTTATTAAGTAAACATAATATAATAATAGATATAAATAATAATTATACATAATAATAATAATAGTTATTATGTTTACTGTGTTTATATCCTGCTTTTCTCTCCAACAAGGAGACTCAAAGCGGCTTACATTAAAAGCCTTTCAAAATATGCAAATATACAAACAATTCAAACATGGTATTAAAAAAAATCAATTAAAATCCATAAAAAACAGAATCAAAGCTTAAGAACCACAGCACCTTCCTGACATGATCTTAAATACCTTCTTCTTCTAGTTCCCTCAGCTCTAAAGAGAAAGGATGCATCTTTACTGCGAATCTATTGTTGACACTGAAGAGTGTATTCCGTTTAGATTTTGCACTCTTCCTGTTTTCAGGTTCCAGAGCGACAGAACCAAGGCATTGGTCAATGCGGAGGCAACATAGGACGAAGCCCAAAAGGATGCATGATGCCCCGCATAGCAGTTTCCTATACTCTCCCCGTGTTTGGAGGCTCCCAAAGGCCCGGGGCCTTACCTGGACGCGGGCCTCGGTGAGGTCGATCTTGAGAGCCAACTCCTCCCGCGTGTAGATGTCCGGATAGTGCGTCTCGGCGAAAACCCGCTCCAGCTCTTTCAGCTGGGCGCTGGTGAAGGTGGTCCGGATCCGCCGCTGCTTCCGCTTCTCGTTCAAGCCCCCGTGGTCGGTGAAGAGCTTGTAGGGGACTGAAGGAGGAGAAAGGGGAGAGGGGGTTAGGGTCACAAAAGCCGGGGAGAAAAGACAGGTGAGTGAGAGAGAGAGAGAGAGATGAGACAGACTCCCAGGTACATCCACTTTAGGGTTGTCGTTTCCACTATCGATAGAAATCAAACTGTAACGCTCGATTATGCGGGATTAGCATAACTCAAAAACCACTGGACGAAGTGACACCAAATTTGGACACAAGACACCTCTCAGGCCAATGAGTGACCACCACTCATAAAAACACTGGAAAATATAGCAGAAGGGACTTAAAAAGCAAAAAAACCCCCCCAAAAATACAACGCATGTGCAAAACCACATATATATATACACAAGCACACATATATACATACACACACACCACATACACAGGAAGGAGGGAAAGAAGGGAAGGAGAGAAAGAAGGAAAGAAAGAAGGGTAGAGAAGGAAGGAAGGAGGGAAAGAAAGAGGGAAAGGAGGGAAGGAGAGAAAGATAGAGAAGGAAGGAGGGAAAGAAGGGAAGGAGAGAAAGAAGGAAAGAAAGAAGGGTAGAGAAGGAAGGAAGGAGGGAAAGAAAGAGGGAAAGGAGGGAAGGAGAGAAAGATAGAGAAGGAAGGAGGGAAAGAAGGGAAGGAGAGAAAGAAGGAAAGAAAGAAGGGTAGAGAAGGAAGGAAGGAGGGAAAGAAAGAGGGAAAGGAGGGAAGGAGAGAAAGATAGAGAAGGAAGGAGGGAAAGAAGGGAAGGAGAGAAAGAAGGAAAGAAAGAAGGGTAGAGAAGGAAGGAAGGAGGGAAAGAAAGAGGGAAAGGAGGGAAGGAGAGAAAGATAGAGAAGGAAGGAGGGAAAGAAGGGAAGGAGAGAAAGAAGGAAAGAAAGAAGGGTAGAGAAGGAAGGAAGGAGGGAAAGAAAGAGGGAAAGGAGGGAAGGAGAGAAAGATAGAGAAGGAAGGAGGGAAAGAAGGGAAGGAGAGAAAGAAGGAAAGAAAGAAGGGTAGAGAAGGAAGGAAGGAGGGAAAGAAAGAGGGAAAGGAGGGAAGGAGAGAAAGATAGAGAAGGAAGGAGGGAAAGAAGGGAAGGAGAGAAAGAAGGAAAGAAAGAAGGGTAGAGAAGGAAGGAAGGAGGGAAAGAAAGAGGGAAAGGAGGGAAGGAGAGAAAGATAGAGAAGGAAGGAGGGAAAGAAGGGAAGGAGAGAAAGAAGGAAAGAAAGAAGGGTAGAGAAGGAAGGAAGGAGGGAAAGAAAGAGGGAAAGGAGGGAAGGAGAGAAAGATAGAGAAGGAAGGAGGGAAAGAAGGGAAGGAGAGAAAGAAGGAAAGAAAGAAGGGTAGAGAAGGAAGGAAGGAGGGAAAGAAAGAGGGAAAGGAGGGAAGGAGAGAAAGATAGAGAAGGAAGGAGGGAAAGAAGGGAAGGAGAGAAAGAAGGAAAGAAAGAAGGGTAGAGAAGGAAGAAAGAGGGAAAGGAGGGAAGGAGAGAAAGAAAGATAAAGAAAGAGGGGAAGGAGAGAAAGAAATAAAGAGAAGGAAGGAAAGAGGAGGGAAAGAAAGGGAAAGGAGGGAAGGAGAGAAAGAAGGAAAGAAAGAAGGGTAGAGAAGGAAGGAGGGAGGGAGAGAAAGAGGGAAAGGAGGGAAGGAGAGAAAGAAGGAAGGAAGGAAGGAAGGAAGGAAGGAAGGAAGGAAGGAAGGAAAGAAAGAAGAAGGGAGAGAAAGAGGGAAAGAAAGAGGGAAAGAAAGAGGGAAATAAGGAGGGAAGGAGAGAAAGAAGGAAAGAAAGAAAGGGGAGAGAAGGAAGGAGAGAAGGTGGGAGAGGAGGGAGAGAAAGAGGGAAAGAAGGAGGGAAGGAGGGAAAGAAAGGAAGATAGAGAAGGAAGGAGAGAAGGAGAGAAAGAAAGAAAGAAGAGTAGAGAAAGAAGGAGGGAGAGAAGGAAATAAAAAAGTGAAAGGAAGGAGGAAGGAAAGAAAGAAAGAAAGAAAGAAAGAAAGAAAGAAAGAAAGAAAGAAAGAAAGAAGAAAGAAAGAGACAAGGAAGCATAAAACCAAAGAACAAAAGGAAGCGAGAAAATAAACAGAGAAGGAAGAAAGAACAAGAGAAAGAAAAAGAGGGAAGGAAGGAAAGAGGGAAGGAAGGAAGGAGTGAAAGAAAGAAGGGGGAGAAAGAGGGAGGGAAGGTTTGCCACAGCAACGCGTGGCGGGTATAGCTGGTCTATATAAATAAAAATGTAATGTTCGTTTGTGGGATTAACAGAACTCAAAAACCACTGGACGAATTGCCGCCAAATTTGGACACAAGACACCTACTAACCCAAGGAGTGACCATCACTCAAAATAAGTTGATTTTGTCATTTGGGAGGTGTAGTTGCTGGGATTTATAGTTAACCTACGCATTCTGAACTCCACCAATGATTGAATTGAACCAAACGTGGCATAACAGGACTCCCATGACTAACAGAAAACACTAGAAGGGTTTGGAACAGAAAACACTAGAAGGGTTTGGTGGGCATTGACCTTGAGTTTGGGAGTTGTAGTTCACCTACATCCAGAGAGCGCTGTGGACTCAAACAATTATGGATCTGGACCAAACTTGGCACGAATATTCCATATTCCCAAATATGAATACATGGAGTTTGGGGAAAATAGACCTTGACATTTGGGAGTTCTAGTTACTGGGATTTATAGTTCACCTACAATCAAAGAGCATTCTGAACCCCACGATTGACAGAATTGGTTAAACTTCCCACACAGAACCCTCCATGACCAACAGAAAATACTTAAGGCCATCCAGTCCAGCTCCCTTCACCAGGGCAAGAAAACGTAATCAAAGCCCTCCTGACAAAGAGCCATCCAGCCATAGATATAAATAGATATGATTCACACAGAGAGATATAGTATAGATTTGAAAGGGACCCCATGAGAAGGGAAATGATATTTTGCATGTTCCAGAGCAGGCAAACCAGACAATCTCCACATTAACACTGACAAAGAAACAGAAAGAAATACTGTTTACCCACAAGCAGAAAGATATTACATATATTAGAAACCAACACTTTCTAATTACTTTATTTTCCAGATCACCCAGACTGGGCCACAGCAAGGGCTAGTCTCACTACAAGAGTATTGGCATTGCCATTCTCAACGACAAAAACCCACTTCCTGATAGGACTCACTTTAACGATTGTATTTCCACGCCAAACGAAAGCATCCTTAGATTCCCCGATGGACAAGGTTGGCGTCTCCCTTCGAGTCCCAAACGAATATAGCAACCACTTTACACTCAGATCTACACTGCCGTGTCCAGAGGAGGGCGACTAAAATAATCAAGGGTCTGGAGAACAAGCCCTATGAGGAGCGGCTTAAAGAGCTGGGTATGTTTAGCCTGAAGAAGAGAAGGCTGAGAAGAGGCATGATAGCCATGTATCAATGTTGTTAATTTGTTCAGTCGTTTCCGAGTCATCGTGACCTCATGGACCTCCCTGTCGGCCCCGTCACCACCCCCAGCTCCTTACAATGTATCAATATGTGAGAGGAAGTCATAGGGAGGAGGGAGGGAACAAACTTGTTTTCTGCTGCCCTGGACAAACTTGTTTTCTGCTGCCATGCGGAACAATGGCTTCAAACTATAAGAAAGGAGATTCCACCTGAACATTAAGAAGAACTTCCTGACTGTGACAGCTGTTCAGCAGTGGAACTCTCTGCCCCGGAGTGTGGTGGAAGCTTTTAAACAGAGGCTGGATGGCCATCTGTCGGGGGTGCTTTGAATGCAATTTTCCTGCTTCTTGGCAGGGGGTTGGGCTGGATGGCCCATGAGGTCTCTTCCAACTCTATGATTCTATAGGAGCGACTTGAGAAACTGCAAGTCACTTCTAATGTGAGAGAATTGGCCGTCTGCAAGGACATTGCCCAGGGGATGCCCAGATGTTTTTGATGTTTTACCACATTTGTGGAAGGCTTTGCTCATGTCCCCGCATGGGGAGCTGGAGCTGACAGAGGGAGCTCATCCGTGCTTTCCTAGGATTTGAACTTGCCACCTGTCGGGACTCTTCAGTCCTGCCTACACGGCGGGGGGGGGGGGGGGGGGGGGGGGGGGGGGGGCTCCTATCAGGGATCAGATCCTAGGATATAGGGCAGTGTGGATCCAGCCTCAATGAGAGCAAAGGGAGAAAGGAGATGATGCCTTTTTGTTCTTATCATCATCACCATCACCATCTTGATTTCCATCCCACCTTGCTCCCCATAGGGAATCAATGGCTAGATCTGCACTGTCCTAATATCCCAGAATCGGATCTCATATGGTCTGCTTTGAATTATAAGGATTATAAGGGTGGTATAATCTCCCAAAGCAGTTGCTCTACTTCGAACTCAAGAACTGAAAACGAAATGTTGGTGGGCAGGAAAAGAGATTTAAAGATGGGCTCAAAGCCAACCTTAAAAACTCTGGAATAGACACTGAGAACTGGGAAGCCCTGGCCCTTGAGCGCTCCAGCTGGAGGTCAGCTGTGACCATAAGTGCTGCAGAATTTGAAGAGGCACTAATGGGGGGGGGGGGGGGGGGGCGAAAGAGAAAAACGTTCCAAGAGGAAGGCGTGTCAAGATCAAGAATAGGGCTCCATAGTCACCCAGGGACCCACTGCAGATCTTAGAAGACAATCCTACTCCTACAATGAGGGATCACCTAATTAACTAAGAAGTAGGTCAAAAAGTCTTGCCTCCTGCATCATAAAAACGTTGTGAACAAACATAGAACAGCAGAAGTCGCTACAGATCATAGTCTGGACTGTCCAGGACAGAAAACTACCCTTCAACATGGTCACCATCAATTTGTACACACTTGTGCCATTGTTTAACCCAGGCATTAAAACCATTTTGAGGGGGGGGGGGGGGAATCAGGGTTTTGCTTGGGTTGAATCTAAAACCAAGTGCTTTGTCTTTCAGAGGTCCAAATAGGTAAAAGTCAGAAGAGGCCAAATCATAAACATTCTTCAAGCGATGATGGATTTCCCTTAGGTGCACAACCTCC